ATGGATTTATTATGTGTAACATCACTTATCGTACTATTAATACTCGAAACTTTGTAACTTATAACAATGTACTTGATGTGAACAATCTTGGTTGTTATATGTAATGTTGGTGATGAATGTGTTATGTTTCATGTATATTCAATGTGATGATAATTTAATTGTTAGTCACACGAGCCCTCGGATGTTTCCGTCGTCTAGTGCGGGGGTGTGACATAACCTAGGAGCTGATCGTTTGAAGGAAGCCCGACTCCAAACTCAAATCACGGAATTTGAAAATCTAAAGATTAGTGATACTAGTACAATAGATGAGTTCGCTACAAAATTATCTAGAATTGCTTTATAATCCGCTTCACTAGGAGAAGTTATGACTGAACAGAAGCTTGCGAAAAAGTTTCTTACGAGCCTCCTTAGGCGATTTGTCCACATAGTTGTAGCCATTTAATAAGTTTTGGACCTTAAGACGATAGGCATTGAAGACGTAGTTGGTCGCTTAAAAGCTTATGAAGAAAGAATTAAGGGTGATGAAAAAGTTATCAAGACTAAAAAAAACTACTTTATTCCAAAACTGAATCACCCAATAGAAATACCAAGTCATCAAGAGGTAGAGGTCGAGGTTCAAATAAACGTGGAAGAGGACGTGGAGGTGGATGTGGTAGTGGACGTGGTCAGAGTAACACCCAAAATCATGGTCACTCGGAATCCTCTAAAAATCGTGAAGATTAAAAGAAAAAAGGAAAACAGTGCAAGCAAAGAGATCTCACAAACATCCAATGTTACCGGTTTCATAAATATGGACACTTTACTTCAAAATGCCCGGACCGAATAAAAAATCATGAGGCTAACCTTAGTCATACACGTGAAGGAGATAAAAATCATGAAGAAGCGATGTTCTTTATGATGAATACAATTCAAGAAACAGTGTTATTGAATGAAGACAAATACATCCCTCCAAAGGTTGAAGCAAATGTCGATGAAGACGAAATTTGGTACTTAGATAATGGTGTGAGCAACCACATGACCGGTAACTATTCATATTTATCTTATTTGAATAAGAATATAACGGATAGAGTTAGACTTGAAGATGGATCATGTGTTAGCATTAAAGGAAAAGGGTCAATTTTGTTCGAAGGAAAAAACGATGAGCATAAATTAATCTTATTAGCCTCGACAATCTACAATTATCGGTTGTGATATCCGAATGTGAGGTGATTTTCTAACCATGAGAGATGGAGATGGAATATTACTTTTCAAAGTCCCAAGAAGTGAAAATCGACTCTACAAAATAAAGTTAAAAGTTAGAAAACCACAATGCTTACTAGCCAAGTTTAATGACGAAGCTTGGTTATGGCACGGACGACTTGGCCACATTAATTTTGGCGCGATAAACTTGATGCATAAGCTAGCTAAAGGGGTACCGACAATCCAACATGAAGACCAACTTTGTGAATCTTGCATGGTTGAAAAACAAACAAAGCAATCATTTGCAAAGGAAGCTAGTTATAGAGCTACAAATATTCTCGAGATGGTGCATGGAGATATTTGTGGACCGGTTGATCCCCCCACCCAAGCGGGTAGTATTTATACTTTAGTTCTTATTGATGATTATTCTATATATATATATATATATATATATATATATATATATATATATATATATATATATAATATATATATATATATATATATATATATATATATATATATATATATATATATATATATATGGTTTTTTCTTTTGAAGCACAAAAGCGATGCATCTGGAATTATTAAAAGATTCAAGATATCAATTAAATAATGAAATGGTAAAGAGATCAAGGCTTTCCATACGGATAGAGGTGGAGAATTCACATCGATTGAATTAAACATTTTTTGTGATGAAGAAGGGATTTCACGTAGGTTGACGGCTCCTTATGCACCTCAACAAAACGGTATAGTCGAACGGAGAAATAGGACTCTACTCGAGATGACATGGTGCCTAATGAAAGCGAAAGATATTCCAAACCACTTTTGGGGCAAAGCCGTACGACATGTAACGTTCATCATAGATCGTACACCTACTCGAGCATTGATAGGTGCTATAACATTCGAGAAATTTTATGGCGAAAAACCAAACCTGGAAGACTTGAAAGTATTTTGTTGTGTTGCATATGAAAGAGCAGTCTCAAAACATTTGAAGAAGCTTGATGATAGGTCACGATCGTTGGTATATTTTGGAAAGGAACCCAATTCTAAAGGATTTCAGTTATATAATCCAAAAGAAAATAATATTATTATTAGTGCCCATGTAGTTTATGATGAGAATAAGACATGACAATGGAATAATGAACCTAAAAGTCAAGATGTAATGGGTCATGTACATTTACGGTATTGTGGAGTAATGGTCAAGCAACCCAAGATAATGGTGATTCGATCCCAAATGCAATAGAAACTAAAAAAATCATTTATCCAATCCAAACCGACCAAACCAATGACACTTATAACGATGATAGCAGCCCATCGCAACCTATTCATGATCAAAATAATGATGCAAGTTTTGTCCCACCTCAACAATCCACTCGAGCTTCAGTGTTTCCAAGAAGATTAAATTACTACGAGTTAGGCGTGGATCACTTAATGTTGTCATTCGATGATGAACCAAAGAATTTGAAGGAAGCCAAATTGAACAAGAATTGCCTCGATGCAATGAAGACCGAAATTGACTCCATCGAGAAGAATAATACTTGGAAATTAGATCCTCCGCATAAAGATGCTAAACCTATCAAGTTAAGATGGTTGTATAAAATTAAAAGAAATATGAATAGATAGATTACTAGGTACAAAGTGCGTATAGTAGCGTTAGTAGCTCGACTTGAGAAAATAAGATTATTGATTGCTCTCGCGGTTGGGAACAGATGGAAGATTCACCACTTAGATGTAAAAACTGCATTTTTATTTGGAGATATAAAGGAAGAAGTGTACGTGTACCAACCAGAAGGTTTCGTGAAGCAATGTGAAGAAAAAAAGTATACAAATTGGCAAAATCTTTAAACGGTCTTCGACAATCTCTGAGAGCATGGAATTTGATGCTTAATAACACGTTGAAGAATATGGGTTTTAAACGGTGCATGCAAGAAAATGCGATTTATTGAAAGGTTGCAAATGGAGAATACATAATAGTTGTTGTTTATGTAGATGATTTTTTCGTGACGGGAACAAGTTTAGAGTTTATAAACCAATTCAAGAGACTAATGGTGTTAGAGTTTAAAATGTCAGACCTTGGTGAACTGACTTGCTACTTGGGTATCGAAGTATTGCAAGAAAATGGTTGTGTAAAGGTGAAGCAAGATAGTTATGCTATGAAGATTCTAAAAGAGGCAGACATGCAAAAGTTTAATGCAACTCAATGTCCAATGGAGCCAGGACTAAAGTTGTCAAAAGCCAAAGATGAACCAAAAGTTGAGGCTACCAATTATCGAAAATAGTAGGTTGCTTACGATATCTCTTACACACTCGTCGTTATATGCAAAGTCCAATAGAATCTCATGCACACACTATTAAGCAAATTCTTCATTGGTTGCGTGGTACTTTATCTTTTGGGATAATATATAAACTAAGTAATAATATGAGCTTGATAGGATATAGTGATAGCAGTCACAATGTGGATATTGATGATAGCAAAGTACAACATGGCGTGTCTTCTACCTTTGTGAATAACCTATCACTTGTTGCTCCTAGAAGCAAGATACAATATCTATGTCCTCGTGTGAAGCGGAGTTCATGGCAGCTACTGTAGCTGCGTGTCAGGCCATTTTGGTTAAGGGAGTTGTTAGCAGAGCTGACATGAATGAAGAAACAGAAGGTGCTGATTCGCATAGACAACAAATCAGCAATAGCATTGTCAAAGAATCCTATCTTTCATGGAAGAAGCAAACACATTCACACTCGATTCCACTTCATCTGATAGCGTGTGGAAAACGAGCAAGTGATTGTTGAACATGTTTCGAGAGATAAGCAACGAGTGGATCCCCTTACGAAGGCCTTAAGTTGAATAATGTTCGCAGAGATGAGAGCGTTGCTTCTAGTGCAAGAATTATCCTCGACTGGGGGTGATTGTTGGTAAATATATGTGTCCAATGTGGCAAGTTATGTGTGTTTGGTCTAGATCACAAGTCTTGGAGTGTTATCCAAGTACTCCTTACTTCCTTGTGTATTAAGGAACACATATATTAGGAAAGTGTAGATAAAAAAATCCTAGTTATATTCTTTTTTGTTATGTTTAGTATATAATGAGATAGGATCCTATATTCAGAGAAGATAGTTTGAAGTTTTTACGAGTTATGTTTCTTCAGTAAAAGTCAAGAGTGAGTTTTGGCATTCCTGTTCTCTACTCCTTAACTTTGTGTGTTCTCTACTCCTTAACTTTGTGTTTACTAAGGATGTGTGGTCACTACATGTTCACTATAAAAATGATGCCACATTTGCACCACATCACCTCTACTCACAACAAAAAAACATAACCTTTAGCTACAACAAAAAAATGTCCCAATTGATGCCTCGTGTGGTCGCTAATACATTAGAAACAACATGTCATCGCTAAAGGGTCGTCGTTATTACGTCGTAGATTATACTAATTCATCATCACAATTGACATCGTTTCTAATATTTATCATCGCTAAATGTCTCAATCATTGCTATTGGTATCGTCACTCGTGATATTCTGGCCGCCAATCGAAGTTTTTCCAGCAAGGCTTCCCGGAGTCGGGAGTCGTCGCAATTGGTCCATAAACATCAAATAAAAATACAGATTTGATAAAAATAAAGAAATCAATACATACCACATTACATAAAACATGAAATATACCACATTACATAAACTATCTAATAATTTCAAAATTAAACATCAACTATATCATCCATAAACTATATAATAAATCCAAAATAAAATCACCCATAACATAAACAACAAATACTATGTGTCTTCGTCTTTCCCATCGTTGTTTTCCTCACTATTGACTTAGTTCTTAAACGAGTGGATAATATCTCCAATTGTTGTCAAAAATGTCGCGTTTGGAAGCAAAGAAATTCACATCAACATCCTACAATTAAGTCACAAGCACTTTTAGTCATTAACAATTTCATAAACTATCAAACTATAAAACCACCAAATGAGTTAAGTTGTTTACGATTTAAGAAAATATTAAACCTCCAAATCATTTAAGTTTTTAACAATTTAATAAACTATCAAACTACAAAAAATTACTATAAATGCATCAAGTTCTTAACAATATAGCAAAGCTATCAAATTCTTTAATAATTTAATAAGTATGTGTTAGTTGCAGTGCTTGTGATTGTGACGGCCATTGAGATGGAACACTAGTACCCGCTGCAAAAGGAGGTTTAGGCCCATTACCTCTCACATGCTCCCTTCGACCACCTAACACTATCTCAAATACTGTAATCCAATCGATGGAGTTTGGAACACCACCAAAGTCAGCTATGTGTTGAGTTTGTAAAGCAACCTCAGCAACTAAAGCATTTTGTATTTCACAAAGATTGTCAATTTACGTTAAAAATTAAACACAAAAAGCATGCAATCTACTTCATTTTTAAGTAATAATAACTTACATATTGGTCTTCAACTAAAGGATCAACAAATTTTCCTTTTTTATTCACATGCCCACTATGAAATGCTTCAAGTCTATTAAAAGTTATGTTTAGCATTAAAAAATATGTTATACTTGAATAAACATTAAAAAAGTATTTTATAAATGAATAAGCATTATTGTAACTTACATTATTAAAACAAGCACTATCGTAGCTGCATGTCCCTCCATGATTCTGAACTACTTGTTTCTTCAGGCATTCTTTGTTTTCAGTGGATCATTTTTTATGTTTTTCTATTAAGAAGTGGTTAATAGAATAACTCTAACGTTGTGGATTCATACCCTCAGGGGCTTGAGACTTTGCTGCCTCTACATCCCCTTCAAAATCAGTAAAATGAGCTTTTGCAGTATGTTTGCGGCCTTTATATCGTGCACATATCAGATTGTTCAGTGACACCCACTAAACTGAAGCCATGGGATCATTTCAAATCGCTCCAAAATCAAACCATGTCTACAAAAAAAATAGAGAAGTTAAAAATAATTCAAAATTAAACATATTAAATATAACTTTATAAATAATTTATGGAAAGATACTGGAACATGCCAACTCTTTTAGGTCCAGAAAGTTATTTCCATGTGTCTTTATCGATAGCGATGTCACACCACATATAGCTCCCATCCTGCCGAATGAAATATTTGTATACTTGCCCAAATACCAAATATACATTTTACATATATATACACATACCAAATACCAAATTCACATTTTACATACTACTAATTTCATACTTGATAATAAAAACCTAAATCAAGGAAAAATCATATAAAAAACATATGAACAATTTTTGATCAATTCACTACCAAATACATATATATACTTTGATCACTAAAAAACTAAATCAAAGAATAACCGTACAAAAAAGCTACATAATCATACAAAAAAAAACCGTAAAATCATGTGTGAAAAATTATGCATTTAATATAAACTAGAGGGGAATTACATGTGCCGTTGGCGTTGTGTTTCCTTTTTTTTCCTTATTTCAAGTTGCACCATATCATACAACATACTATAATGTGTTTATAAACGCAACATTTTTCGAGCTTTTCTTGGGTCTCACTACAGCTGACAAAAGATTATTGTCCCAATTGCGGTCTTCGTAAGGGAAGTATGAGACCGGATTGGAATCATGGTTTGGGTTTGGAATCGGGGCTTGGGTTGAATTTAGAATGGTGTTCAAGTTCCTTTGTGCCACACGATTTTGATCAAATTTTATCATTGATAGATCAGTTTCCCAAATTCAACTTCTTCTCATTCGTTTCCTATAACCATTCCAACTAATTTGTTAGATTGCTTTCAAATATGCTTCACAGTTATAAAAATCTTATTTACAATTTCTTGAAAAGAATACCTAGAAAGTAGTCAAATAGACACCTTGTCTTTTCTTATGAGTTTACAGCTTTCAAAAGGACCTGTACTTGCAAAACTCTCTTAAAGAAGTTGTTCAGTCACATGTGTATGTGCATTTTTCTCAAAATATAGATAGCGGAAGTTTACATGAGGGAAGAAACTTTAAAACAGATTAGGTTGGCTTAAGTGTGATTTTTAAAAGGGGCTTTCATGATGGTTAAACATCGCAGTCAAAATACAAAGTATATGACCTGCAAAAAGATAAAAAACAGAAATAGCAAAAAGTATTAGTGAATCTCAAATCACACTAAAAGGACTATTAGCTCATCCAAAGGACTATGATGAAAAGGCAGAATCACAAAAATTTGAACACAAGTGGTACGCTTCTTTGATTAAAAAGAAGATGAAAGTAAGACAAAAGAATAATTAAACATTAATAAAATTGATGAAAAAATAAAACTTGAGATGCCTTTTTAACTTAAATAAAAAGAAAACAGATTGTTTCTAACTGTTTATGCTTTGGAAAAAAAAAAGTCACCTTACCAAGCATTTCTTTGTAACTGTTCATGCAAAATATGAAATCTGAAAACTTTTATTATGACTCATAAAGCAGAGAATAATCTCATAGGGTTTAATTGGTTCCGCTAGACGTCCCTTCAAGGACATCCGATACTTGCTTCCGCTAGACTACTACCAATAAGTGACTGCTAACCTTACGAAAGAGATGAGCATTCGATGAGTCCAATGACACCGATTAATAAATTAATATTTCATAGTGTTTTTTTATTTACCCAATAATCAAGAAGGCTTCATGTGGGACAGACGGTGTTCTTTTTGTTATAGATGTGTGTATATAAAATCAAATAAAAACAAATTTTGCTTTGTAATTGGATCATATTGCTATAATATAATTGATTTTGCAAAGTAATATCCACAAATGTTGAATTTCACCAAAGTAACACCTGGGGCAAAATTATCATAAGTTGAATTGGATAGGAGAAAGCCATCTACAGAATAAAAAATTACTATTTATGTGAAGGAGCAACCATTTCACCCTTTTGATTAGAGTAAATGACTACTTTACCCTTATGTTTAAAAGTGATGTTGAATAAGAAACGATTAATTATGTGTGAAATTTACAATTTAACCCTTCTGAGAATACCTGTATGCCCTAATTCTTCATTACATATGGATGAACCGAGATGATAGCCATCACAGGGAGTTCAAACTATCATTTATCACATAAAAACACTCAACAACTTATATTTAATTTAGATTAAATATGTTTAATAAAGAAAACTAATATTATCAATATTAGCCGAATCATTGTCCTTATCATATATGAAACTGTGGTTAATAAACCTATACTTGGTTATATACTAACTGGTATTTACGATATACAGTTATATGTTGACCCAAAACCAAACATACCACCCGTTTGGTTGCTTATACGAAATTCTGAAAATGGGTAATTGTTAAAATGACGAAATTTAATAAAAAGATTGTTGGATTTGTTACTCTTTATCCGTTCCTTAATAATAAAAATCACTAAGTTTTATAGAATATTGGCTAAAGAAACCAAAGATAGCACAAATTCCGTAATGAATTGTAGCAGCTACTTGGAACCAAAACTAAGATTTTTAACAAAGTTAGGGACAAGACAAAATTGTAATTTACTCTCCAAGAATAAGTTTTGAAAGTGAGTGAGGTACCAAACACGAAGATCATCCCAACAGAGATTTGTTGAAATCCAAATAGACATATACCATGAAACTTTATTGCATCTATGAAATCCTGAAAATAATGAAGAGCGCCCTTTTAGTTAAAGAAAAAAGTAAAAAACACTTAAAAACATGATCGATAAAAAAAAAAATTAGTACCTCATGTTCTCAAGATACCAAGTTATATCTAATAAGGTTAAATCATGAAATTAGAATAGAATGAACAACAAATTTTATGACATTGGTCATTTAGAAATCATTATTATAGGAAACAACTACAAAATTTATTTTTACAAACTTCAACCTTTGGCAAAGCAAGTGCCTGGAAATTTCAGAAAAGCAACCTGAAGTAAACATCAAAAAGTTGTAAACATCAAACCATTCTTAGGAAAACAACCTAATCCCCAATGATAAGTTGGTATGCTTATTAACAAACCAGAAACACGACGTATGAATCACCCATAAAGAATATACCATACTTTGATTTGGGCAAAAGAATAGTTGAAAGTTTTCAATTCTCCAGATTTCGACTCCTGTATGAGCTGTTAAGTGAAAAAATAACAACATATGCAAATGAGTATGCTAAAAGAAATTGATGTTGGGTATTAACTACAGATACAGAAAGAGTACCCTCCATTTGGATCTTCTCTCATAAACTCCAAGAACTCTCAGGTATATTATGTAGCAATATTGTAAGCGTTGGATGGATATATTCTTCCAAATTAGTTGACTACTCACCAATACTTTTATATTTATCAGTCGTTTGTACATGTGGTTCTATGGAAGACTGTTTTTGAACGTAAAGTCTCCATTTCCTGTGATGAAGTGGTAAAAATATTAAAATAAATACATATACTTGAGAAAGGTGAAGGAAAGAAACCATCGGTTCATTTTTTGTGATGTATGTTTCGTTTGAGCAATTCATCGAACACTTGGCATACGTTTTAAAATAACTATAAAGTTACAAACTTAGTGGATGGTTTTTTGAGCCCAAATTTTGGATCTGGAGCTGATTTTTGGTGGATGATTTTTCAGACCATCTGCCTTCGGCAACTTCCCAAGCCAATATGTAGCTTGAGACCTCCTCAAAGCTACGAAAAAACTATAAAAACCATAAGTTAATGGGACATTCGATTGCTATGATAGAACAAAATTGATATTAGAAAATATAAAATTTTATATATACCTGCTTGTTGGGCTTTTCTTGAAGCTAAATTATCGGCGTGCCCTGTTCTGGATGCAATCACCTCCATCATCTTTAACAATCTCAAAAATCTCTTAATCTTTCATTCAAGGAAACCGATTCAGTTTCCAATCATAATCCGATCCGGGTCTTGTTGACATTTTCAGAATAATCCATACAATGATGTTTAAAGAGTTAAAACGAATTTACTTCTCAATTCTCATGGACTTACTACATTTACATTACAGGTGGTACGACAATTTTGGGAGCATAATGACACAAGGGGTGCTATAGATGCCTTGAGGAAATTGCCAGTTCATGCTATGAGTATTCATGTTTTATTACTAAAATTAATCCATTAACCTTGAATTTTGTAAAAATTGATTGGTTTTTGTATCAGGTTCAAGCAGATGTGAACAAATCTTACCAGTGGATGCCACACTGGAAACAACAGCTTGGTCTCATGTACCATTTGATAACAGCATCTGAATTTTAGGAAAAGTAACTAATCGGGGCTCAATCAAGATATGAAATGGTGATTTCAATAGCAAAAATAAATATTTAAGTCAACTTTCATGTTAAAATTTACCAATCAAGTGCAGAAATTAAACCGCCTGACTGTGACTATCTTCACCAATTGACCAAATTTAAGTGTTGAGACATTTATCAAACACTTGTTATGCATAATAAAAACGACAAATGTAACAATCCCAGCCAAAAATTAAGTTTCCCATTTGCGTGTTGGAGAATTAATCAATTAGAGCATCATGGATTAAATGAAATCTCTCACACAGAAACATATAAGAGGAACAAAAAGTGATAGAGAAAAAAAATAAACCAAATCAGTTGCAACTTATTATCTGAAAACGGCACCTGTATTTACGGAAGAAGTCGGATGCCAAAATCGGGAAAATAGATGGTTCAATCAGTGTAGGAATTGGTCGCTATTCCTGCACTCCGGTGACGCCGTCACTTACCACCAGCAGCAGTGACGCATTTGTTGGCATCATCATCTTTCTCGTCTGGAATAAAGAAAAGGAAATAGTAGGTGGATTATTTTGAAAGTAAGAAAAAGGAACGACTGGAAGGGGCTTATGCATGGAAGGCTTCCTGATGAAAAGCGCAATGGCGGTGGAGGGAAATAGAGGGAGAACGGAGACGCCGACCTCACCAGAGGAGGACTGGAATTCAGTTCCGCCGGAGACGACGACCGCTGGAGAAGCAGCAGAGGAGGCATGTGGTATCAGAGAAAGTGGTAGAATTTAACATCGGGGGTTTGGTTTTTTTTTTTGTTGAAGAAGAGGACGTAGGTGAATGGAGGTGGCGTTTTGATTAGCTAAAGAAGCCGGTGTCATAGGACGAAAAGAGAAAGTGTATAACTTTGGTGGTCAAATTGTGAATCAAAATACCTATGTGGCAGAATTCCAAATCACGAAAGACTCCTGTTCACCATTTTTTTGTCAATTAATAGTATATATAATACAAACACACATATATTGACATTATGCACTACCAAATACAAAAACATGCATACACAGTCAAATGTGGCCGAAAAAATGCACCTGTCGCCAGAGAAATGAAAAATCCGATGTGTTGTGACGGTGGTGGTCGCCGAAAAACAAGGCATTGTGGCGGTGGTGGTATGTTGCAGGAAACATCAAAATTGATGAAATTATATTCGATTTTAAGGCCATAATAGAAAGAGAAAGGTAAAGGAAAATTTTTGAGTACCTTAATGTCGTCGGAGATGGCCA